CAACTAGTTCCTCTGGACAGCTAACAACAGGGCATAGAGGCTGAGGCCTTCCCCTTATGTTGCCTCCTGGCTCTGGGATTCAGAGGTTTAAGTGCCTCTAAATGTGGAGGTTCTCCTCAGTCACCATGCCCAGTAGCCACTGATAGACTTCACAGTGGCCAACTAGTTCCTCTGGACAGCTAACAACAGGGCATAGAGGCTGAGGCCTTCCCCTTATGTTGCCTCCTGGCTCTGGGATTCAGAGGTTTAAGTGCCTCTAAATGTGGAGGTTCTCCTCAGTCACCATGCCCAGTAGCCACTGATAGACTTATCCTCCATGAATCTATCTAATCCCCTTTTCAAGCTGTTTATTTCTGTGGTCATCACATTCTCTGGCAGCAAATTCCACATTTTAATCACTCTATGTGTAAAGTAGTATTTCCTTTTGTCTGTCCTGAACCTACTGCCCATCAGCTTCAGTTCTAGTATTTTGGGAGAGGAAGAAAAGGTTCTCTTTATCAACTCCCTCTGCCTCATGCATAATTTTATAAACCTCTATCATATCCTCCCTTAGTTGTCTCTTTTCCAAACTGAAAAGTCCCAAACTCTTCAACCTTTCCTCACAAGGAAGGTGCTCCAACCCCCTAATCATTTTGGTTGCCCACCTCTGTACTTTTTCCCAGTTCTGCAATGTCCTTTTTGAGATACAGTGACCAGAACTGTACACAGTATTCCAAATGAGGCCCCACATACAGGGGCACTAAAATATTGGCCGTTTTATTCTCAGTCCCTTTCCTAATAATCCCTAGCACAGCTGCAGCACACTGGGGTGACACTTCCATTGAGTTATCTACGATGACCCCAAGATCTTTTCCTCTCTCAGTCTTAGCAAGTTCAGAACCCATTAGCCTGTACTTGAAGTTGGGATTTTTTTGTCCCAGTATGCATCACCTTAGGAGCTACGGTGGCTCAAGTGGTTAAGACGCTGAACTGCAGGCTGTGGAAGGTCAGTAGTTCAGCAGTTCAAGACCCGAGTTGCCGCATGACGGAGTGAGCTCCCATCTCTAGTTCCAGCTCCTGCCAACCTAGCAGTTCGAAAGCAAGAAATTGCAAGTAGATAAATAGGTACCACTGCAGTGGGAAGGTAACAGCGTTCCGTGTGCCTTGGTGTTTAGTCATGCCGGCCACATGACCATGGAAACGTCTTCGGACAGTACTGGCTCTTCGGCTTTGAAACGGAGATGAGCACCGCAACCCTAGAGTCGGACTCGACTGGCTTTCAAGCAAGGGAACCTTTACCTTTTTATGCATCACCTTACATGTGCCAACACTGAACTTCATTTGCCAGATTGTTACCCATTCACCCAGTTTGTGAAGGTCCTCTTGGAGTTTTTAGAAAGTGGGCATAGCCAGAAAGTGGGCATGGTGAACAGTACCTGCCACCATAGTGTTGGTTTTATTCTCTCTCTCATTCCTCTTACTCAGTGTATTTCTTTAAGTTACCTGTCCTCTCCCTTGCATTGTGACTTCCTCTGTACATGTGTGTATGCGTGTATGGGGGGGGGGGTTGAAGAGCTACTGTCAGAGTTTATGCACAGCCCACTCCCTGACATTTCATGGTTGGCTCCCCCGCCTGTGGCGGCCATTTTTTCATTGCACCCACCACCCTGTGTCAGAATGTGCATCCAGGCCATACCCATTGTTCAGTATGTCAACGTGATAGTTATAATAATAGTAATTATTACTGTGATGGGTGATTTACTAATTAGAAAGATAAAGAGATAGCTTTGTGGTGGTGGGGGGGGTTTATTGCAGGGTGAGTGGCGTGCCTATATGAAGGCTGTGGACCTCGGGTGCCATGTTGATAGGATGGTGAGTCGTGCAGAGGAGATACCAGTCATCGTAATCTATGTC